CCAGTGCTTGGGTGACGCTGACGCCGCGAGGTGGCTTCAACAGTTTGGTGCTTTACGCCGCGCAGTGATGTAATTTGAAGTCATGAGGTGGCTTCAACTGGCAGCTGGCAGGCTCTATATAAAAAAAAAAAAATTAAATTCGATCATGATAAAATCTGGATGCTCGTAGCATTGCTGGTTGATGTTGTTGTGACGGCAGAATTATGCCGAGTTGACAGTCCTTGGCCGGATAAAAATCCGGGTTCGTTCCGGTTTTCGTAGACCCGGCTGTCGTGGGAACGGTCGCGTTGCTGGTGATACTAAGCGGWAGTGATAATAGAATAGAAGGACCTTTGATCTAGTGTCTGTAATTAAACGGCACTSAATCGTTATATAAATAAATGTAAATATAAATAACAGTGTCAGCCACCTCGTTCAGCCGGTTGGACCGGAGAAGGGCGACATGTGGAAATACTTGATAAACCGTTGAGGCTTGTAGCGTTACTGCTAAGCGGATGATTCAATATTCTAAGCAATCGGAAGCGTGAGACCGACCAAGTTAAGACATTATTAATACCATACCTTTCTCTATGTGCATATGTTGTTATTGCTATAAGTGTAACAATTGGTATAGTTGAAGATCCAACTTAAAAAAAAATACTTATAACAWGGATTTGAATAAATAAAAGATAAAATATATATTTATTTTTAAATGTTTTATTATTAAGTAAATGAATGCGGAAGTAGTCAAACTACGAATTGAGCATGAATGAGATGAAATATAAAGRTGTATCTATTTTTAAAGCTAAATAAATTTAAAATTAACAACAGAGTGCACTTTTAAAGAGGATAAAATCAATCCTTCTTTGGTTGGGCGCTAGTGGCCGTACTGTTACCACTGCCAGATGCAGAACTGTTGATGGAAACCGACGGATTAATCGGATTTAAAGTTATAACCTTCGGCGAGGTTTGTATAGATGATGTTGTGCCAGCGACATTATTTTGGCTAATATCCTGTGCTGTGGTAGTCTGAGCTACTATGGATACACCAGGTGCGGTTGAGGATGAACTAACTGGATTTGTGCCGGATATGATATTTACCATTTTACGTACGGTTAAATTTCGATTAAACACGTGCGAGGTCAAAGCTGGTATTTGTTTCAATCCTCCGGGTTTTACAACAATATTTCGAATTTGCGGGCGGTCGTTCAAAACACTGCTACCACTACTTGTAGCGGTAGGATTTCCGGTGTTACTGCCCACAGTCGAAGGAATAGCTGCCCCACCAGCGGTTGTACTAATAATTTGCACTTGTGGTAGCGATTTTGTGGAAACATTCAGTATGCCTGATGTCTGCCGCGCACCAATACTAAGTGGAGACTTTAGTGTCTGTAAATTCACYTGTTTCACAGACGACACGAGTGGACTGCTGCCACTAGCTGTACCCACTGGCAGTTGCGTTGTCGTTAATTGCATTGCTGGACGGGGTACAAGTGTTGTTGCAGATGTCTTCGGATTCGTAACAACAACCTTAGTGTATTTCGGCAATTGTTGTGCGACATTCGATCGGGAAATAATATTCGGGCAGGGTTTCATGGTGCTACGGTTGATAAAAACTACCTTATTCTGCTTATTGGCTGAGCTTTGAGTAGTTTGCTGTAAGATTGGGCTGCCAATGGTTTTATTAATTATATATGTGCCACCACCAGTCTTAGGCGAAGTGGTCACAGTACCAGTCGTGCTAGACCCAGTGGAGGTAGCTTCTTTAATAATTTTCTGACTTATAATTAGTTGCCCGACCCCGGAAGTATTGGCTACATAGAGATTATTGCAATTTATTACAATTACAGAAAAAACGAAAGATTCGAAGTACTCACCTGACTTGACAGATGCGGTAGAAGAAGCCACCGAGTCGGACAGATTGCCATCGTTATCAGCAAATACAATTGGCATATCGATTATGTTAGACAGATCCATATTGGAAGTGGATGAAGTTTTTGGCGTACTCCCTTTTATGCCACTAAAAGCTGCGTTTGCTATTTGCAGTGTGGTTCCACCACTTACATTTTTCATGACAGTGTACTTTTGCTGAGCCGTACCAGGTGGTGCAGCTGTAACAAATTGCGTCGTCTGACCATTGGGCGATTTCAAAGTGAATATCTGTTGTTGATGATTTGCAACGGAGCTGCTGGTTGGTGATGTTGATACAATACTGCCGATGTTTGTATTTCCAGATGTGCTATTCTGTTGCATTGACGCCGTTTTTATTGTATAAATTTTCGATTGTGATTGCAAGGGCGGCTTCAGTTGCACGAATTGATTAGAAGGTATCATCTTTATTTTTGCACCAGCCGGAAGAGATTGCTTTTGCAGAGGATTCATTAATGCGGTTTTTATTGGAGTAGACTTTGATGGTGCAACAATTTCATAATTCGTTACTATTTTCTGTCCACCTTGAGCAGTTTCGTTACCGGAGTTCTGTATCGAACCATCTTGTTCATTCCCATCACCCAATATTGACTGTATGGCCATGTTCAGATCCTCGTTCGTAATAGAAGAAGTTGTTGATAACTGTGTCTTCTGTTTTTGTATCTGAACTGTTTTAGAAGTACCACCTGCCAATGCACTCGATGTTGTTTTAGCTGGAGTAGATGTGGATGCTATCAGGGGACGCGTTCTGGGTCGGCCGACTGCAAATATACATAGGAACACAGATTAACCTTTCGAATTAAACGAATTCATCATCAACTTATTGTTGAAAATAATAAAAATWAATTTTTACCCTTTCGCTTCACTTGGAATGTTTCTGGGATTTTTACTTTTTTCAGTTTGGCTTGAATATGGAAGGGATTTCAAGGTAATGGAAAATTCAAATGTGGTCACATGATGATGATTAGGTCATGAAAAATTAAATATTTTAGTATTTGTTAAGTTTCATTAGTATTGCTATATAATAAAAGTTAGATTTAACAAAACAGTGTGACATACTTGAATTCACATATTTGGTCTTCGGTGGCGTTTCTTGATCKGAATTCATAGCATCATTTTTACGCTTCCTTTGTAAAGATCCATTTTTAGCATTACCTTCAGCGCCACTACCACCAGCGTTATTATTAATGGAGCTTCGTCCCTGTTTAGTGTTAACGAAACTAGTTATTGTTGTTGGAACCCGTGGTCCAGGTGGATTAGTGAGAATTCTTTTTATAAATTCATATATTTCGTCCTGAACACAAAAATAAATTAGGTAATACTTTTGACAATCTGGGTCATAATTGAACGTACCACAACCATAGCGTCTACCATCGACTGTGTAACATTATCTAACTTCCTACGGCTTTTAGGAACGCGTAGAACATCATCTCCACTGCCCACCACCACCAAAGAACTTTCCGATTGCATTTTTTCACGTAACGATTCCATTTCTTCGGTACTGAAATATAAAGTTGCAAAATTAACTTGCTGGAAAGAGGTTTTTCYATATATTATGATACCTTGTTTTTGCTGAATTTTGACCAACTACAAATAGTATTGGTATCTTTATGTCTAATAAGCGGTCATCAGGAGTACCACGAATTCCATTAAATGTGTTATAAGCAAAACCCATACACACTACGCATGCTACATTCTCCGACATCGCCACTTGCAAAGCAAGGGCAGCACCAGCGTTGAATCCAATCAATATGATGCTTCGCTGGGCATTTTCGTTTCGCAACTCTTGTATTTTAACTCGAGTGATTGATACTATTTGTTCTGCTACTTGCTCTAATGGTTGCCGAACTATATGACTAACTGCGAATTAAATAAAATTATATGAATTTATAATTTAACATACATATATGTATATAGTTGACACTATACGTAGGTTTGAGTACTAACCATTCGATGGTAAAGTTACTTGTACAATTTGTGTTATGCTAGCCAATTGATGATACCATTTTTGAAGGCGATTAGGCACTGGACCACTGGTAGGCACAGAAGGTAGTGCAACAATTACTGCATTCTGTGTTAGTTTTCGGACCTTCGTACTAACAATTGGCTCCCATTTGTTTTTCATTACCGGCGCCAGAAGTTCTTGACTAACATTTAGCGGTCGTCCAAACAACATTTTATCCATAAGTGTTGGCAATTTAGATTTTAATGTTTGCAAAATATCTAAATAAGACGCCATATATGTTGATGGAAGTGAGTCCATTAAGAGACAATGCAACCATTGTGTGAGTCGCGAGTCCCAGGCAACAGCAGCCAACGCCCTACGCATTCGACTAGCAGACTTATCGACAGCAACACGACGCTGCATAGATTCGTTTTGACGATTAACATTGGCTAGTCGTCCTAATTGATCATTATCCAAAATATTTGCTACTTTATTGAAAAGTGTCTTTTGCATGTTACTCCAACCAATTCTAGAAGTATTTTATTTAATGTATTGCTAATATTGTTAATAATTTTGTACTTACTGGTTAATACGTGCTTCCCAATCGTCGTCGTCTGGATTATTGTTTTTAACGTATTTAGCGATTCGAGAACACTCATTCATTGCTTCTTTGGCCGCTATTTCATTGTATGAAGGCACATTGGCCTGATTAAAATCTTCAAAATCATGCTCTTCGGGATGGGTGTGACAGGAAGGGCACTGCGGCGTACGTCGAACCAGTATTGTGCGAGCTGGTAACAAACCAGTAGTAACGCTGCCTATTGGCCGGGAGTTATCTCTCGTATAACTGTGTTCCATTTTATTACTACCACCACTCCCACTAATAGAATTAAGATTTTCACACACAGATTCAAACGAGGAGTTGTTATGCTAAAAAAAAATAGGGTAACGATAGTTTACATATTTTTCTGCGACATTACGATAGTTAATTATTGATATTGATATAAATGACACAAAAAAATTTACTTTTTTCACTGTTCGGACCAAAAATATTAACAATATCTAAAAGTATGTCAATTTAATAATGAAATAAATATATTTCATCTTATTGGGATGATATTTTAGAGAATTCCACTTTGTGGATTGCTCAGTACTTTTGCTAATGAATAGAGATGTTAATGATCCAACTTGTTAAAAATATACACTGAAAGCATTTAAGGATTTCATTTGGTATAAAGTTATATACTGTAAACTCATTTTCAATTTCCAATATTTTATAAATTTATTCCTCTTTAATAAAGGTTTATTCTTTTCATCAAAACACTTTTATTGGACAATTTGCTTTATATCACTACTTGGCTTTTTTCGCAATATGGCGTCACTACATGTAGTTGCCATATTTCAAATTTTAAACATTTTTACAATTAATCAAATGGTGCAGACTGCAAACATCAAATATTAAAAACTAACATAAAATTTACAATCTTTTTTGGTTATTAGTTTTATTAGGTAAACTTGAATACATCATGCTACGAATTTCAAGTTAAAATGGGCATGGATTCTGCAGATTAAGAATATATTATAGCCACCGGAACCGCTATTTTCGAGATATTAACTATTAAATGTAAGTAGTTTCTCTAAATAATTATATTTATTCGTAATCTAGAGAATCTCTTCTATCCAACTATAGCTACTTTTATCCTAAAATCGTGGGTTGGTATACTAAATCCCACTCTTTTTGTTGGATGCAGTTCAAATTTATAAGGTGTTTAATAATACTCAATTGTGATAGAACACAAGTATTTGATATTTACCACAGACAGAAATATATTTGTACTTTTCAATATAAACTATATTTAGTTATGTGTGGCATCATTAGTTTTCATTCTCACTAAGTGTTGTAATAGATTGTTTTGAATTTCACCATTATTTTCCACAATATCTATAAACAAATAAGCAATTAGCTCGATATCTAAAAAGTTAATGTTCACAAGTAGGGTTTACTATTGAGGTACTGTTTTTGCGTTCTGCGATTAACGAAGTAATTACAAAATTTGTTACCTCTATATCTTCATCATCAGAAGCACCAGATGCTGTGCGAGTTCCATCACATTCTTTGCGCTGTAAAAAGTCTTCGAACAGTTTCATATATGAAGTCATCATCACCTGTAGTTTTCCACCTAAGTAAATAATACTTCACGTCTGCAATTTTTTCAATAGTACTATAAACTGAAACATTTAATGTAAAAACTATTTGCAATGTGCACTTATTAAGCACATCATCCAACACTCTGCCGATAACAACTTTGACAACTAACAATACAAGTTGTCATCAAATGTCAAATAATTAAAATCACGACTCGCAAAAATTTGTGATTTGCTAACCAAAGGGATAGGAATGTAGTTGTGTGAATAATTAATCAGAGAATGTATTATAAAAGTTGCATTAAAAAGCTGTATTCGTTTTAATTTGTAAAAATCACATCCCAATGACTGATATAGCACTCATGTTGAATGCATGCACAGGTATGGTGACTTTTCATATGCTGCCAGATCATAGAAAACGTACTTGTATTTTTCATTGATATCCTTATAAAAATATATAAATATTAGTATTATACAAAAAAAAATTTAAACTTTAAAGTGTGAATATGGGTTAACATTTTGAAATGAAATTCAATACATTATACAAATTTTTTCATTTCTGTTTGCGTACAGACAAATGCCAGAGAACGTAGAAAATATTTTCAATCTATTTACTCAATCAAGTGGCAGCGGTAAGAACTGGCAAGTGCGTAAACCACAATTATAATTTTGTGGCATTAAAGTACATTCGCRATGGCATTAGGACAACAGCACGTGTTAAGCTTTTCGCCTAATGGCAAATTGTTTGCTTTCATCAACGACCAAGGTATTCTGAGAATATGGGACACAGAAACCAACGAACTAAAGCAGGAGTACACACCCAATCTCCAATTGTCAGGTYCTTGTACTGCACTCACGTGGGTTATAACAACTTCTTCAACCGGGCATAGTGCTGAAGAGAAAAAGGTTTGCTCGGTATCTATTTTTCTGAATTGTTCTAAACAGTATTTCCAAAATAGTCGAAAAAAGYTCGAAAATCACACAATGGACCAAACCATGACACAGAGGCGACTTACCTGGCGCTGGGTTCTAGCAATGGACACATTTCTCTTTATTCTTACGCTTTAGGCAAGGTAAGGGCTTTAAAAATTTGAGTAAACTTCATATAACGTTCATTCTATTTATATATGCAGATCGAGCGAAACTTAAAAGGTGAAGGACACAGCGGAAAAGTGACCTGCCTTACTCAAGATGCTGAAGGGCACTTATATAGTAGTGGGGAAGATTGTCAGATAATAAAATGGTCAATTTCTGAAGAAAAGCAAATCTCATCTTGGTCAGTGGGGTCGGAGAAACCGTACAGCATTGTTTATTTGGAATTATCAAATAACTTGGTTGTCGGAGGTCGCCAAATTAAAGTATATTCAGTGGCCACGCAGGAGTTAGTACAAACGTTTACTGGGCACACATCCGACATTAATTTGATGAATTCGTTGGTACTAGATGAGAGCAGTGAATACGTCGTAAGCACATCACGAATGGAACGGATAATATGTATATGGAAAATTGGGAAAAAAGGTCGTAATAAAAATGCTAGTTCCACTCTAATTATGGAGGACGTAGCACACTGTCTAACTTGTCAAGTAGACATTGATCGCAATGTGAGAGTTGCGAGTGTAACACGCAGTGGCGTTATTCATATGTACCTTATTGCAGTAGAAAAGTAAGTATATATTTATTTTTGTTCCATCAGATTATCATAAATTGATTGTGTTTCCAGCATTAAACCTGAAAAACCAATTAAACCAAARTTGACCATAGAGGTTGCGTCAGATAGTGCAACAGTAATTGCTCCAATACCAGCTGTTTCCGTATCACTTCAGCACAACAGTCGCCCACAGGAATTAATTTTCGGTTATGGAAACAAAAGCTTTCTGGTTTTTGAACGCTTAACTCCGAATTTCACAGAAAAGTTGCAAGTTCTCATTCGCACCGACCCAAAATCGCTATACTTGATGCGTGGAAAACTGTCAAAAAAAGACGGAAAAGCTGGTGACGCACAAAAAACTATTACTCCAATCGTCAATGAAGCCGACGTGGAATACAAATCTTCAGCTACAGTTCCAAAGAAGAAGTTGAAAGCAGTAGAAATGCCAATGGAGTCCCGACTTCAAAATTTGAATTTAAACGCTGTTGCTGGTAGTGGAGCACCCCAAGCTCAAAGCAAAGTTCAGTTGCTAGTGCAGGCCTTACACAGCAAGGATAATGTGTATGTTCAGTTTATTTTTTTCATATAATATTACAAGATTATATGTTATTGAATGAATGAATTATCGAACTTTGTTGCCCCCTATTTAGTCTTCTACGTTCTGTATTGCATACGCGTGATATTAAAACTATTCAACTAACCCTCCACAAACTACCTGTGCAATACGTAGGACCATTAGTCAATGAGTTAACTGAGTTTATGCAAAAACAACGCATGAAGTAAGTAATACCTAAAGTTCTGATAATTTTTGGAAATAATAGCATAAATACTTTACAGTGTCGAGTATGCAGTTGATTGGCTTAAAATCCTTATTCAGACGCATTCCAGTCAACTAATGGCTTTGGGATCTGAAGATCTTCTAAATAAATTCGGTCCATGCATTGGTTTAATAGAACATCGCGTGAATTGTCTGAAGGACTTGTCGAAGTTTGTTTATTTTATTATTACGAAATATCCTCGAACTGATACAATTAATTATTATRTTTTCTTGGCAGAGTCGCTGGACGGCTAGATTTGTTGATCAATCAAATAAAACGCAACACCAATGAGGATAATTTAAACAGTGCAAATGTGTTGGTCTATGAGGATAATGGTACAYATGCTCTAAATATCTTTTCCATCAAAAYAAAAATTGTAAWAATTTTTTTKTTTCAGATTCTGAAATCGAAGATACAGGCGAAAAGAGTGCCTCCGATGATGAATGGGATGAGGATATTGAAGAGGACGTTGAGAACATGGATCAAGGTGATGAAGATAATGATGAAAGYGACGCTGATGATGCAGAAGAAATGGAAACTTGATCGTAAATTTTCTCTTAAAACTTCTTTCTTAGACAGCATATGTATGTTATGATATAAGTAAAAACATTAGATTTTTAACACGTTTTCTTGTTTTCATTTGAATCTTCGAAAGCACTATTAATTTGTATATTTTTGTAAGTAAAGTTTTTTTAAACTCGGACACAACAGTAATTAAACTGCGAGCAAATGAAATATTCAGCGAAAAAGAATGTATTTCCAGCTAACATCAAATTTATTTTTATTTTGATATACATACAATACAACAAATACTAATAGTTTTTTTTGTCAGGACTCTGAGTGAATCCTTTGTGACATTAATAATAATAATCATTCAACAACAGCAGACGATAGAACGTTAACTAAACCAGAATGTACCTTACTAATAGGCTTAATGCTGTCTCTTATACACATCTAGATGTGTATAAGAGACAGGAGTGAATCCTTTGTGACATTAATAATAATAATCATTCAACAACAGCAGACGATAGAACGTTAACTAAACCAGAATGTACCTTACTAATAGGCTTAATGAGTCTAAAAGCCATTTCTAAGTGTCTTCAATCCGCTAACCACATCATTGCGTTTGATAACCAATCTAAATTTATTATGCATTCACAAGTAAAAGCATTTTGTATAACAACACATACAAATTGAGACTTTAATTTATACGTTTTTTAGATTATAAGTTTCAATTAATTTCATTAAGCATGCTTGTGAAAACTATATTTTAATCTTCAGTGTACATTTTAATTTAACAGATTTTTTGTTTTTGTGTGATCTCATAGTTGTTTTTTTTTTTTTGATGATTTTTACGCTTTTAAATGCTTTCGGTCTTTTGTTCTTCCGTTGGAAAATGTTGAATGTGGTGTATTTTGAAATAGTCCACAATCTAGTTTACCAGTTTGCTTTAAGGAAGTTGATGAGACCATTAGTGGACGCATCGTGTGTAGTAATTTCATTTGGCGTGGCCAATTCTGGTTCAATTGCTTTAGCTAATTGTTTACCTAATTCCACACCCCACTGGTCGAAAGAATTAATATCCCAGATGGTTCCTTGGGTAAAGATTTTGTGTTCATATAAAGCTAAAAACAAAAAAAAATTATTTTTTATTTGGACAATTTGCATCAATAAGTTACCAATAAGGACGCCCAAAATGAATGGTGTAACTTTCTTTACAACAATTGAGTTGGTTGGACGATTACCAGTAAACGTCTTATGTGGCAAGAGCGCATCAAGTTTATCGCCAGACAAACCAGCCGCCTCGAGTTCAATGCGAGCTTGTTCCTTTGTTTTCCCTTGCATTAAAGCCTCAGTTTGGGCCAAAAAGTTTGCCAATAATATTTTGTGATGAACACCGCCGGCGATTGGATTATGCGTCTGAGCCGGCGCAATAAAATCACAMGGTATTAATCGAGTTCCTTGATGAATCAATTGATAGAAGGCATGCTGCCCATTGGTGCCAGGTTCACCCCATACGATTGGGCCGGTATTGTAATTGACAACCTTTGAGTCGGTCTTGGTTACAAATTTGCCGTTACTTTCCATATCGCCTTGTTGAAAATAGGCAGCGAAGCGATGCAAATATTGATCGTAAGGGAGCAAGGCATGTGTCTCGGCGTTGAAGAAGTTCGAATACCAAACACCCAACAGTGCTAATATAACTGGCGCCTGATAAGTATATAATTGTTTTATTAAAACATCGTACAATTGCTAATTGTTCAAAACTTACATTCTGCTCCAAAGGCGCAGTCCGAAAATGATTATCTAAGAAATGGGCTCCTTCGAGCAATTGCTCGAAATTCTCAAAACCTATTGAGAGACATATAGACAAACCAATGGCAGACCAAAGCGAGTAACGTCCACCAACCCAATCCCAAAAACCAAACATGTTTTTACTGTCAATACCAAAAGCTGTTACTTTTTCCTTATTCGTAGACAATGCCACAAAATGCTTAGCGACAGCGGCGGGCTAAATTCGGTAGTTAAATAGAATGCATTAGCATTGACAAGACTAACATTATATATTTTTAAAACATACATCTTTAGCGTGCTCCAATAGCCAGTTCTTTGCTGATGTTGCATTAGTTATTGTCTCTTGGGTGGTAAATGTTTTTGACGCAACAATAAATAGTGTAGTCTCATAGTTGACACGTTTTAGTACTTCAGCCAAGTGTGTACCATCAATATTTGAAACGAAATGAGAGTGCAGCCCCTTGCAATATGGTTTAAGTGCTTCGGTCACCATTAATGGACCCAAATCAGAGCCACCAATGCCAATGTTGACCACATCAGTTATTTGTTTGCCTGTACATCCACGCCATACGCCTGATATGACTTGATTAGTGAACTCTTTCATATGTGACAATTCAGCGCGCACTAATGGCATGACATCATTACAATCGACAAGGATAGCATCGTTTCCACGATTGCGTAGCGCTATATGAAGTACTGCTCGATTTTCTGTAATATTGATGGGTTGGCCCGTGAACATGGCATCGCGGGCAGTAGTTACTTTGCGGGCTTTTGCCAAGTCAAGTAACAGGGGCCATACGTCTTCCGTAATTCGGTTCTTTGAGTAATCAATCAATATTTCGCCATCATTGGGAGTTTGAAGACGCAAACTAGAGAAATAAAAATGAATTAAGAGTAAAAAATATAAAACGGCTGTGCAAGATTTTTTTTTATTCAGTATACTATTATTTACATATACAATAAATTATATGTTCAATGATTGTGCAATTATTGCTTAAGGTCAATTCATTAATAGCAAGTTCTTCACACAAAAAAAACTTTTAGATTTTGATCTTTTAAACAGAGAATCTTATCATTTCACTTGAATAACATACATTATACATAAGTACGTCTCACATATGCCCACTGACATTCAAAGACTTAGTGTATAACATATAGAACAAAAAAATTATAACTTGATAACTTTCGTAGCAAATGGATGTTGAGAGTAGCGTTATAATCTTCCTATACAAAATCTATGAAAATAAATATCATTTGGACACACTTATGTACATATGTATGTACCTACGCATGTACATATGGTGTGTTGTAGGTCAAAGTCAAGGTCTAAAATACGTTCATTCGCTTAGTTTCAACATGTAACGAAATATTATCATTAATCGCTTTCTAAATCATTGCTAACATAATCAACACCTGATTTTTTGAAAAATATATATTAATAGTATTTATTTTGTCAACAAAATTTTTAGAAGATATATAGGAACTAACTAAGAATATACATATGTACATATACGCACATATACTATTGTGCATGTTGGCATAATTTTCCCGTTTGTAAAACAGAAAATAAAAAATATTTATTAAATTGGTGTACACATCAATATAGGTATGTACTCATATTCAATTAAGGATATACACATTAATAGAATACATCTACCTACAAACTCTTTGCCAAACCAAAGTTTTTCACGTAACCGTATTTTTCATACATTCGATATAAACACCGGACTACTCACCTGTACTTCTTAAAACGATTTGTATCTCGGGCGAAAAGATCCTTCATATTAATGTCTTTCCCATGAGCATTATAAAATTGTTGCAGCTTTTGGTAAGCCGGTTCCTCCGTAAGCAGTGGAAGTGGTCCTGCCATTTTTATTACTATTTGATTTCTTCTGATAAAACAATTGCACAGAAGTTGGCTTTTATGAATACTGAGTGTAAATTGGAATTCGTTATATAGTATATTTAACAATGCACAATTGGATAGAGAACTTCGTTATTTTATAAAAGAAATTAATTGAAAACTCGAATTATTTCAACTCAACAACGTTYCCACAAATGACCAGAAGAATTGTAATTTATAACGACTAAGCAATCCCACTCCACGTTCGAAACAAATTCAACTTCTCTCTACGTTGCTTTGTCAATGTCGAATGAAAAACTAAAGCCATACACACAATGCGGTGCATAAGATTGTTTAAGTTTGATGTAAGTTTTACCGTAGCCGATTTAAAGTTAATAGTTTATATCATTACAGAGTTTATGTTGATTGACATCATCGCACATATCAGAATAAATGAAATCAAATAATCTTAATCTTTTAAGCATAATYCTTAAGTTTAATATATTCCCAGTTTTAACTTATCATTAAAGCGTAACAACAGCGCCATCTATATGCCTTTTCGTTTATAGCCTAATGCAWAACTAACTGCACATAGTTTAATATCTTTGGAAAGAATTAGAATTTTAATGAAGAAAATTCAAGTTATTTCATATAAATTAGATTTGCAAAGTTTTCGGAATAAAAATATAATAAGCAGAGGTGGTATTTTGGATCTGGTAGCAAGTGGTTGATTGGTTCATTCTGTTGTCAGTTGGCTGCACTGGAATATAGTGTGTATTGGTATGTGTAATTAAGAAGTCAAATTCCAACAAAACACTAAAACTGAGTAGCGCATAATAATTGGGAAAAATATAGTTTCAGTGCTATGGATTTACGTAGGATTGTATTCAAGTTTCAATTTAATGTTTATGAAGTAGTAAAATGCATTTTTAATTAAAATAATATATTAAATAAATATGTAATGTGAATATAGCAAGACTAATCTCGTGAAAAACGAAAGACACAAGAAAGTGTTACAGGTCTATTGCAACTGCTAAAAAGCGGAAAGCGAAAAGAAGATAGTAAAAGGTAAATAGGCATATAAAAGAGTGCTACTTATCCACAATAGGGATTTCGTTTAATGAATAAATGTTATTCAATTTATGAAATTATTTTCAAATAATAAAGTTATGCCAGTGTAAGTTAGTAGCATGTGTTGCCGCGTGTTCGTATTCGAAGCAGTAGAGAACCGACGCCTTCACCTAATGTTAATAGCGGTAACTATATAAAACTGTGCATGGTTTCAATGATGTTGCATACGTAACCTTGCAAATGCGTAGCACAGTAGCATCTTTTGTCCAATGGCCAAGCGTAACGTTGGAAAAATTTATTAAAAAAGTTACAATTTAGTGAACGGGTTAACTCCTAAAAAGGATATTAGCTTGATATCGAGTTTTTATAAAATTACAMTATCTGTTTAAATCATTACTAATTCATGCAAAATTAAAAACGTATAATTTGTGTGATTTTTGTATTTACAGAATAAAAATATCGGAGTTCATTTAAGCAAAGTTCTTCCAAGGCATTGTCGAACATAAAAATGTCCAATTCGACGTCGTGCAAATCAGATCTTAGCTCTTCCAACAGTAACTCTACACAATTATCCTCAAGCAGTAATAATCACAATTGCGGTAGTAACACCAATAACAATGCCGAGCAGCCCCAAACAAAAAGACAAAAAATTGAAAAGATCAGTAAAATCAGTAGAGTTGTTAAATCGGCTTCTTSCAAGGCAACGGCTGTGGCAGAGGCAAAATGTTCCCCCCCACCAGACATTATCGATACCGGCGGAGTTAATACAATGCAAGCAAACATCAATGGCAAGTTATTAAGTAATAATAATCATCAACAGTTACGATGTTCCTCGCTTTCGTCATCCGCCAATTCAATATCCACACCCAGTTCTACAAATAATTCTCCTACATCCACACCGAGTGGATCACGTGCCACTTCATTGTGTCATTTATTAAATGAACAAGGCAATGCAGGACAAATTTTGCCAGGAATTTTAGATGTCACAAGTAGTACAAGTTCCACAGATATATTAAAAAAACAAGAAATACCCTTAAAGAAGGCCGATATTATTGGAAAAAGCCGTAGTACTAATMCGACTGGTGTAAGCTCTGACGAAGTCGATCGAATACCATTTCAGATGCCTGATTTACTATCTATAACTGTAAATACAAATAGTACTAAGATATTAACGGCACAAACGATAGAGCAAGAGATGCAGACAACCGCAAGTCTGACGTTAACGGCAACACATTCAGAGGACATGCGTGAATTCGAAGCCTCTTTAAATAAGCAATGCCTTTGCGGTGTATCCGAACGTACACTACGAAAGCCTTTTCAGTCACATTACTCGATCGACACAAATGGGCAAAAGCGCATTGCGAATCTTTCGGAATGGCCGACGGAAAAGCTTTTGCAATTTCTCTCTAATTTACAGCTTTTGTTCGATATATACCTTAAACAAAATTCGAAAGGTTTTATATGTGCAAGAATAATGGACGTCTGCGACGTTCTCATTCGTAACGATCACAATCTTATTGATGAAATAATTGTTTTGTCTGGTTACAACAATGAATATGTACAGTTTTTAGCTGCTAGAGTATTGGCATCGTTTTTRGTGATTGCAAAGCAGGAGCTGGATGATAATTGGCTTAAAAAATTGATTGATAATCTTTTTAGCTTTGAACGATTGGATAGCTCGGCAGTTCAAAAAATTCATTTCAGTTTGGAAATCATCAAAAGAATAGTAGAATGGAAAGATATGGATTTGCACCCACTTGAAGACGAAATCGTTGACACGCAGGTGGGTAGTGATGTTTCTCCGGATCAAAGTAGAAACACATCATTCGGCAACACAAGCGCAAATGAAGAAAGAGAAACTTTGGAGAACGAACGCTTTTTTCATTTCCAACCACAGCAACCAACATTGGAAACGAATTATTTTGCATTGCAATTTCGAGGTGCACTTAACGATACAGTTGACCACGAGGAAGGGCTGGACGGCACGGAGGAGGGAATCGAAAATGATGAGGATGAGTTGGATGATGACGTGTTAGAAGAGAGTATGGTTCAAGCGCACGCGCGAAGACACCATCACCATTTATCCCAAATGTCGATGCAACATCAACATCAGCAGCGTCAACACCATCTTCAACATTTTCCCTCCTATGATATTATTGAAAGAACAATACAAAATAACACTAGCTTTCTTCCTACAATATCATATGACCCATCTAATGCTGTACCGCACTTCGTCAGTGCCTCTACACATCTATTTGAACAGCACGTAATTCATCAAAATCATGCGCCGTCTTTAAATACTCATGCAACACACTTTTCGAGTATTCACAATCCAGCAGAGCTGAATGTTAATATTGGCGTTGTTGAAGAGCCCCAAACAAATTCTGTTTCAAGCTCTTTTGTATCATCAAGTTGTCAAATAATCACACTTACGGACTCGGAGAGTTTCGATACGTCACATCTAAAAGGTGTCACAATTAAAATACTCGAAAATAAGTGGCCTGCATTGGTAAAGAATATGAAAGCTCTTATTGTTAATCATATGCATATGGATCATGCGGAGCATTGCATACTAAATTTCTTACAGCTGTGGGAAAACATAATTTCAGTTAAGGCAAATCTCTCTGTGGTCGAAACACGCCCATTTTATGCCCAGTTGGATAAATTTGAATTACTTTTGCAACAACAGCAACTTTCCTGTACTGTTTATAAACAGCTGCTATGCTTATTTAATGAAGCATTGTGTTACGGCTCCACACTAGCACTGCAGGACATGCTGCCAGTCGAAACGTGCCATTTAGCGCAAAGAATTGTGCGGCATGTGAAAGAGGCACGTATTTTAGACTCTCTACCACGTCGTCAACCTGAAAATACGGTCAGTTTTTTGGGCTTCAAGCGCCCAGCTGTTGCTTATTTAGAAGGTACGCTATTTAATGCGAAGTCGGAACGATATGCACCACAAAAGTGTGGTTCAACGCCCCACTCTCGTGAAAACATTGGTTTGTCCACTCCAATGAATCGGGAATTCTCTAATAACGAAAGCATTCCAAATTCTTCAAGAATATTGTCAGGAAGTCCAATTGCGCTTAACGAAAATGCCATTGAAATGGACAAAACAATTTTACAAAAAATGGTGCTTCTAGTTCTGAAATCTGTAGCTGTAACTGTTAAAGAGATCCGAAGTGACTCTTCGGACTCCTCGATCGATTCTCAAGACTGTGACGCCTATCAAGATATGGTGTTGATTGAGCGTTCCATACGCGATGTTTTGCGGAAATTGGAATCATTTATAAAGCATAAATTAGAATTTCATCCTGAGTGTCACTTTAGCAAAATACTCATACATCTTTTCGACGATCAGGACGATCATTTAATTGAAGCTATGGTTTGTACTTTGGATGTCACAGCAGGCATATCCTTTCGCAATAATGCATTCCCTGAACTCGTATCCATGTTGAATCCGGTCTATACATTCTTGGAATTCCTCAAAATGATTTCTAACAGTTCAGACCTCTTACTGGATCTACTGGTCAGCAATGAAACTTGTTTTCTACTCTATCTCCTACGACTATTAAAATATATACGAGCAAATTGGGACATGTTTCTACGTAGTTGTCACGATTTTGGAATGGGATCACCTGTCCTCGACGAAGCAATGAGTGTGTTGATACGGTTGCGTCTGCACATTTCCCGATTAGTGGCTCGTCAGTTGTATCCCTACGATATTTCACCGGTGCTGCGGCTACTGGAAAGCTGTGAGAGCCTTTATGAGGGCAATGAACGTAGCTTAACATAAAATGTTCCTTGGGACCTTTTTTATTTTAATCAAAAATCGCCTAAAATACTTTATCGAAGAAGTTATTTATTTATTTTGTATTTAATTTGTTACGATGATGAATAATGTTCTATATTTCTTTATATATAAGCCTTAAACATACGAGCATTACTGTTAAAATGAAAGACTTGAATAACTTTAGCAAATAGCAATTTATAGTGATTTAAAATATTTGGTTTTAAATCAAACGTCAAAACAACTTAAATATTAATATTAGCACTTTTAATTAATCTAATTTAATTTGTTGTTTAGTGCCTTTTATTAAATGAATTTAAGTAGCATTAACATTATAAAATAGCTACAAATATTTTGGTTTTAATTAGAAAACCTCGATAATTTGTTGTTGTAATTGGTCTTGCCTTAGCTTAAGTTGTACTATTCTAAATTTAAGATAACTATATATATATTTCGTAAATTAAACAATTCTTAATTGTTAACATATCAGCACAATACATATGTTCTTTTATATATAATTTTATTAAATTAATTATAGCATTTAATAGCTTTTTAAATTTAAAACTTAAATGGATGTAAATACGAACTTCCAAGAATGCATATATATATACGTATATACTTATTTAAATATAACGGACGAATGTCACACTAATTTTGAAATATACCTTTGGTATTTAACGGAAATCGAAAAATGTTTTTATAACACCAAGAAAATAATGTACATATTTACAATATTTGTAATAATTTTTAAAAGTTTTTACATAATAAACAAATCTTTTATATTATTATTGTAAAGAAGAACAATTTTATTTTATGGTTCATGGTTTTATGGTTTATGGTGTAACTGTACTTGTTCTTGCCAACGATATAATCACAAAATCGTACAATACCAATGTTTTTAAGAGTATTCCATATATTGGCGTTCTTTCATATTTCTATTTTGGAATTAAATCGTTTTAATTTCTAGTGTCGATTTATCATCCGAACGCGTCGTTTAACTTCATGAAATAGCCTATCTTGTTCATGGTCAATCAAATTTGTTTCCAGGCCAATATGTGCGCCGGATAAAGAGGTACGACGAGCCAAATTCGAAATCGGCAAAACGATGGCTTTTACGTTGTGACGTTGGAAACTTAATGAAACTGGCACCGAGCAACGTCGGCCAGAGATTTTTGGCGAAGTATATTCTGAAAAATCGGATAAACGACCTCATTCCCTATTTTTTAAACTTCCATTCGTTTTGTATTATACTGACTTACCCAAAGGATTTGAAGAACTTTCACCACAATTCTGTGTCTCCCTCGATGGCCGCAATGGTAGACCATGGACTCTGCATTGTATATTTGCTATGCGCTTATGCTCGTCGAAAGATGTGAATTTCCGTAAATTGTAAAGCATTTCAGATTTTTTTATTGTAGTGTCATTGAAACGATCTACGGATTGTGATCGCATATCCAATAGTGATTCTTTTTTTGATTTTCTACTTGAAGAGTCTAAAGCAAAATTTGTAAATGTAAAAATGATTTGCCAATTTGTATAATATTTCTCATCCTTATCACTTAATATGATTTTCACTCACAACCAAACTTATGACTGCAATTTCTTATTTGTAGTAGTCAAGTATAATTAGAAATCCTCTTCAATTACCAATTAGCATATTCCCACATTTATATACATATGTATAAAAATATTTTATTCAACATATTTTGTTTTTAGGAAAACGTTAGTATTTTTTAAGTTTTCAGTTATTATCCCACATTGGTAAATGAAACAGCAAACATTTTTAATTACAGTTAGAGAGAGTTAAAAATTTATTGACTTTTGATGCGTAATTCTTCTATATGCAATTATTGTTTAATAATTCATAAAATCCAATACACGTTCAGACTATGACCAATACTTGTCCAAAATTTCCATTTAGTGTACGAAAACAATAAAATAATAATAGTCTTAATTTACAACAAGTTTACATAGATATTCAAACATAGTTAATTTACATTTTAATATGCAATCGTATTTACGCATTCTCATATATTTAAAACATTATTGGATAACAACAGCTCACACATAGACAACAAAGTTATTATGAATATAGGAACGAAATATATTTTTAATATGAAAAAAATGCAATTTGAAATAAAATATGTAGTTGGATTTTTCAAGGAGAGTTAAAACTTAGAGCTGGAAGGTTGTGCTGTTAGAGTGTGAACAATACACGATACCATAGATAAATTGAACACATTTAGCATGTAGGAAAGTGCAAGGGTCTTTCAGTAAGTACGAGTACAAATACGTTGGAGACCTGAAATTTAAATAAGCAAACGTAAAGAAGGCGAAAAGTATGACTTAGAGGCCTTATCAATCTATTCTGTTTATTCATATTATTAAAGAAGAATTTTTGTAAATAGGTAACACGCATAAAAATATTGAAGAAAAATTTACTTAATTAATAAATATGTACATGTAATCCTAAAACAAATGTAATCAACAGAAATATATATAAACATTTTTACACACATATGTACACATATATTTATTCATATATATTACAAACATCAAAATACACGTGTAACACGTTTGTTTTCGAAATATGAACACCACGCAATATTATGTGAAACCGAATTCAAAGAACAACGCATTCAAAAATAATTTTATGAATTTATTCAAAGGTGTGTAAAAATATAAATATGCATATGTATTATGTTTAATCAATAAGGCGAAGGATGAACGTCGAWTGATTTACAGGAGAACATAGAATTTTTTTTTTTTAGAGAACATATGTATATATGTAGAAGACTTAATCTTACATTCTATGTTTTTTATTTAGTAGATAGGCTGTTTTAGCAAACGTAAAGTGAACGAAAGTTAGTAAGTGAACATGTATTTTCTATTAAATTTTGATTTCCATCAAAGATATAGCGAAGCAATGTTGCTACTACTAAATATGACTACTTTAATCACTAAATTCAGCTAGATACAAATGTAAATGTAAATATTTGACTACGTTAAATACTCTATATTCGGTTTRGTTGATTTCCGATAGACTTTTACCATTATAAATGACAGTATTTAGAAGGCATAGGTAGCTGTTACACTTTCATTAATAATTGCTTTAAATTTTTTTTCTAGATCTAGTTTATATCTAACAATTATAGAATTTAT